TTTTAAAATAATTTTTTTTTTAATTTTTAAAAAATAAAATTGATGTGCACTATTTTTTTATATTAATTATGACAGATAAAACTATGTAAAAATTAAAATCTTATTCATAAAAATAATTTCTTTATTAATTATTTTTTGCTTTTATTTTTCTTGTCTTTCTCACGAATTTGAATAATTCGAAAGAAATGGTATGCCTCTTGTTAATTGTCATGGGCCGCTCTGATGTTAGCAAACCCTATCCTTCAAGCAAGCATGATGGCTTTGATCCTTTTCTATACAGCCTCTTAATCTTAATAAACCTTTGCCATAAATTTATGTTAAGTTGGTGTGACACAGACTTCATTCCGAATCGATGGGTGTCACGCCTTTTGTTTATTGCTTTTGGATTGGTTTTGCTAAAGAATGGAAAATTTTCTTCATAATTTTATTTTCCTGATTTTCCTTGTTTTTATTTGCAGCATTGCTTGAGAAGGTTCTACCACTGCATCTAGCTAATCGGAGTAAGGTAGAGGAGAAAGAAGACGACGGGGGGCCGGACGACGAGGGGCCGGACGACGAGGGGCCGGACGACGAGGGGCCGGACAACGAGGGGCCGGACGATGAGGGGCCGGAGAAGGACGAGGGACCGGAGAAGGGGAAAGAAGATGGAAAGAAACGAGCACCAGACTCTGCTTGGGAGAGTGGAAAGGCAAACAAGATTTTGAAGGCACATTTAGCATACACGGCTCTCTTGACCGCATATTACATTGTTCAAAGCATGGAGACAATCCAAATGCTTCTGTTGGTATGTGTCGAGGCTTCTAAACAAACTGGAGAAAGAAAGCTTTCTTATATTGATGATGGATTTGAACCGTCAGCGATTCGCGAATAGGGAAGGAAACATCGGCGGAATAAAGTGTTTTTCTGTATATGTTGGTTTTTCCTCCATTGATCTGTTTGAGCAGGAGTGATGTTGATGTAGGACTAGGACGGCTGGCTTTGGGGGAATTTATTAGGGATGATTTTAGGGTTTTCTTTGAGACATGATGATTGCTCATGTAAGCAGTAAGAAATGATTGTGGACTTTTTTTTTTTTTATTCGAAAATAGGTAATGGAGAAATAATTGTGCACTTGCTGCAATGGTTTGTGGCTTCTATCAAACCGCTACACTATTTGTGTTTTATAAAATTTTTTAACATCTTGTTTAGTGATTAATGATGAATTCACTCGCAAATT